GTCTCATGCACACAATCCCCACTGTGAAGCATGGTGGTGGCAGCATCATGACGTGGGGATGCTTCACGGCAGCAGGTCCTGGAAGAGTATAAAATGAATGCAGTAAAGTATAGGGAAATCCTGGAGGACAATCTGAAGCAGCAAGGTGAATGTTTTTGGACTGGTCACGGCTGTAAGTGCTGCCAAAGGTACATCTAATAGATACCTGATGGAGGTGAATACTTTTTCCAATACATTTTCTGTTTTCAGTTAATTGATATTGCTTAGTAGAAATGTGCTTTGCTTTGACATGAAACAGTCTTCTCTGGTAAACTCCTGTTGAAAAAAGCCCCATTAAACTGTTCATGAGTCAATGTTGAAAAGAAATAAAATGGAGAATACTTTTTATAGGCACTGTACATTAATGGAGCTGAACATGAACGTCCTTCATATTTTTGGTGTAGTTAAATGCAAGGAGTTAGTTTGGGGTCTCAAGACAATGACGTGTCACCATTTAAAGGGCCATTCCACCCATTTTACTGACCAAACACAGTTATTTGCTTATTGTGAATGTCACTCAGCTTGTCAAAACTTTGGAAAGCTGTGATTTTGTTTACTTTAATTTATAATTCTGTGCTCAGACTGTATCAGGATATTGATTAGATTGTGCATAAAATAAGATTTGCAGCATTTGACTGTATACACGCTTTGTGTTATTAATTTACCATTCACTCATCGACACACTCTCTCTTAAAAATTTCTCTAGACTACTTAGAGGTCATTATAACATTTGATTAAGAATTCGACTTGATTTGAGCATGAGTTTTATTTCCCTTGCTCCAGATTAAAGTTTGTGAGAACATGGGATCAGTATGAGCCTCACATTGTTAAGATTGTACAGTATGTGTACATATTTTTGATTTCAGCACTTCATCTTACCCTTGATTGATTTCTTGATCGATTCCTCAGATTTTCTCAAAAAAGCGTGTTAGACATCTTGATCTCTCCTGACCTGTCATGGATTCACAGACCTACTGAACATGTAGGAGCTGCTCAGATCTAAGAAAATGGACTGATGTAAGAAAAAAGAAAGCTCCAGAGAACTCAGATCCCTGGTCGAAAAAATGTTGGGAAAATTTTCAACCAACACAAATATTGAGACACAAGTCATGGATTTAGTATTTAAAAGATCTGATGACACACCCACTCAAATTATGCAGGCCTGTACTTTGAATGTGGTTGAAAGAGGCTGCAGGTGGAGGATGAATGAGGTGCTTCAGCTGGTTTGGAGGTTGTTTGTGTTCGGATGACTTCTGGATGTAGCTCACACTTGGAGATATTCAAGTTAAAGTGTTGATGTTAGACACAAACACCAACAACATGACAGAGAACAGAGTGAAATGTTTAAATTCATGGTGAACTGTGAGTCTGTTTCACATTCATGAAAAATGTTTGTAGACATTTAATTCATTACAGAAATCAAAGAGAGAAATGTGTTTCTGACGGTTCTCCTCTGGAGTATCTTGATCTGTCAGACACAAGCTGTTAAAATTATCAATGTTGTATTCTGTTGTCAGTGCCTTGGCCTTTTTGTTATGTCTCTACAAGAAATTGTAATAAAATTCATTGAAAAACAGAAAAAAAAGTTGAGCCTTTCTGGTGTGTGATGATCAGTGCTGCTGTGGTCCAGGTGGAGGCGCTGCAGCAGCAACAAACTGCAGAGTTTTGAATGTAAAAAGGATCCAGAGCAGCAGTAGTGAAGCTTCAGAAACATTAGAAAGGTTGTGTTTGTTCGTGCCGTCATTGAATATGAATAAAAAAGAGTGTGTGACAATGTGAAAAAGACTGTGTCTCGCTGTATTACTCAGGCTGCACTACAGCGTCTATTCACAGGCGCGATCCCACTACTGAGCGGCACGGGGGCTTTGACCTGCTCCGTCTCCGACCTGGGCCGGTGCACCCCTCCTTAGACGACCTGGTGGTCCCGGGCTCCCCCAGGAGCACCATATCGATACCGA